CTGGGTTTAGACCCCATTGGGAGTTGGAGTCCTGAGCTGGCAGGGAAAACAGGAGCAGGGGTAGTCTTTGCACATCTGTTGGCAGCTCCCAAGGGGGTTTCTGTGATCCAACCCATCATTAATGGTCCACACTTTACACAATTACAATAGGCCCTGAGTTACATTTTATATTTCTAGTTTTAGATACAAGAGTGGTACATTTATACAAATCAGATGATCATACTCAGTAGATTATAAGCTTTGTAATGATACCTTACAAGAGACCTTTTGCATGAAGCATATCCCAGTTACGTTACATTCACTTATTACCGTATTTTCTCTAAAACTATCCCAGTTACATTATATTGACTTATTATCAAGTTTTTATAAAACCATATAGACTGCACAACGTCACAGGGACAACCAAAACTGGCATCTTTTGCAGAATGAAGGCTTGCATCAATGTCCCTATATCATCTAAGAGAAGACAGGTTGGGCAGGGTTAGGCCATGAAGGCCCTTAAAAGTAAAGACAACTAGCTTATGACTGATGCAATGGAGAAAGGGAGCCAGTGGAGGAACACAGAGAGATGCGTCATGTGGTCAAAGCAATGTCCCAGAAAAATGATTGTTGTATCATCATTTGGAACGGACGTAAGTGGGAATAGATAGGATTTGTCAAGGCCAGAGTGAAGGAGGATGCAATAATCAAGACCTGAGATGATGAGGGCCTGGATGCTGTGTGGATGAAGAGGAGAATGTTAATAACGTTATGTTAATAATTTGCTTACATTGTTGTAACATAGGATTTTTAGTGCTCTGCACAGCAACACAACAGGCTGAAGTTGAATTAAAACTTTTTTTTTTGTCATGCACAACTCAAAGAAAGACAGAGAAGCTTGGACTACTTTACCTTGAATAAAACTGACAGAGTGGGGTCTTGGGGGACAGTTGAAAAAAAGACTTGGAGGGACTGAGTGAAGAGGATGGGAGAATTAAAAGGGATTAAGGTACATGAATACAGTGAAGTAAGTAGTGAATAATAAGATAATGTGAATAAGATAATGGAGCAAACAAAAATCAAATAATCAATTTGTAAGCATCTAGAAGATAATAAGCTAAGTAACAGGCAACATGGATTTGTCAATAACAAATCATGTTAAACCAACCTAACACCCTTCTTTGACAGGGTAACAAGCCTTGTGGATGGGGGGGAGGGGGGTAGCAAGAGATGTGATATATCTTGATTTCAGTAAGGCTTTTGATACCGTTCTGATGCTGTATGATTGAATATGACCATTTATACCACTGTTATGCATTTGCAACAAATCTTGTACAAAGTATATCATTTAAGGTGTCGATACAGAAGTTATGATTTGCTAAATAAGATTATCTTGTTTAAATCCATGTGAAGTTATGAATATTGGCTATGTATCCGTATCTCAAATGTGTTTGTTCCTGGGGTAACAACAACAAGGTAGCTTACATCCAGTCTTGCCAGCCCATTGTGAGTGGACTAGTCAAGCTTGATGGCCCATTAAGGATACTTCACTCTAACAGTGGGCCATAGAAGAAACTCATCCTGCCCAATAAGCCTTCCTGAGGATGCCTCAGCAAGTATATGGGTAATGGCTGCCCATGTGAGTCATCGAAGCATGTAAGGATATGTGATATGCTCATGTGACTCTGGACTCCATCTTGAGCCAGTAACTTTCCAGGCATATGGCAAAGAGTGTAAAAGACCCCTGAGATATCTCCATTTTGCCTTTCCTGCCCTGATTCTCTGGTGTATGGACTTACAACAAAACGGAGCATTTTAAACTATGGACCGAGGACTTTCCAATCTTTTGGAAATTACCAGGGAGACTTTACAAACTAGCAGTCTATTCCAATCATTGTACAAACATAATATAAGGACTTTGCAACTATTTGTATGTATACGATCTATTAACCATTTTTAACTCCTGTCTTTTTTTCTTTTATTAATAAACCCTTAGATTTTAGTTACTAAACGATTAGCAGCAGCATGATTATTGGGACAGATCTGAGTTATATATTTACCTGGCTATGTGGCTGACCTCTTGGGATTAGAGGACTCTATATGTGAGTAAACTGATTTTAAGTAACCATTCATCATAGAGGCCAGTGTCTGGGTGGTAAGACAATGGCTGGAATGCCCAAGGAGACTGCATCTGTGACTTCCTGTTAACCAGCATGGTGAGACAGAAGTTTACTTTTGTTCCTGGCGTGGTATAATATAAGAATAGAATAACCACCAGTTTGGGGTGAGTCTGCCCTATTTCTCAGCAGTTTGTCCTGAACCTGGTATTCTCAGCTGTGACCCACTGAGGCATGCTGACAACTATCTCATCTGATGTTCTCATAAGCATACTAGAGAAATATAGCTTACACAAACCTACTATAAGGTGGGCACACAACTGACTGGAAAACTGTACTTAGAGAGTAGTTATCAACGGTTCATAATCTAGCTGGAAGGAAATATTGTGTTGGTTCCTGCAGGGATCTGTCCTGGTCTGGTTCTAGTCAATTTCTTAATAAATGATTTGGATAATGGCACAGAAAGTATATGTGTAAAGTTTGTTGATGACACTAAGCTGAGAGGGGCTCGAGGACAGGATTGGAATAAGAAATGGTCTGAAATAAATAAGATGAAATTCAATAAGGACAAATGCAAAGTATTGCTCTTAGGAAAGAATAATCAGTTGCACAAATACCAAACGGGAAATGACTGGCTAAGGACTATTGCAGAAAAGGATCTGGGGGCTATAGTGGATCACAAACTAAATGAGAGTCAAAAATGTAATACTGTTGCAAATAAAGCAAACATCATTCTGTGATTTATAGCAGGAGTGCTGCAAAAAACACATTAGAAGTATTTTTTTCCCCTCTCTGCTCAGCATTAATAAGTCCTCAAATGGAGTAGTGTGTCCAGTTCTGGGCATCACACTTTGGGAAAGATGTGAACAAACTGGAAAAAGTCCAGAGGAGAATAACAAAAATGATTAAAGGTCTAGAAACCATGATCTATGAGGAAAGACTGAAAAAACTGGGTTTGTTTAATCTGGAGAAGAGAAGACTGAGGAGGGCACATGATAAGTCTCAAACAGGTAAAAGAATGGTATAAAAAGGAAGGTGATAAATTTTTCTCTTAATCCATTAAGGGCAGGACAAAAAATATGGGTTTAAATTACAACAAGGAAGATTTAAATTAGACATTAGGAAAAATTTCCTAACTGTAGGGGCAGGTAAGCACTGGAACAAATTACCTAAGGAGTTTGTGGAATCTCTGTCATTGGAGGTTTTAAAGAACAAAGTTAGACAAACAACTATAAGGGATAGTCTAGATAATACTTAATCCTGCTTCAGTGCAGGGGATTGGACTAGATGGCCTATCAAGGTTCTTTCCAATCCTACATTTCTGATTCTATGATACAAGCCAGTCTTCTTCAGCCAATTGTTTATTTTTATGATATTCTTACCAACTCTTGGGTACGATGTATTGTGAACACCTTGAAGACTGGGACAGTCTTCTTTTAAGCAGGTTGTCTTGTAGCCTCCTTCTTCAATCTTGGTTGCACTGCCACATGTTGGACAGAATTGGTATCGGTTATGCCATGCTAGAACAGATCTAGCCTGGGCTACTACTCCTTTAAAAAGAATGCACCAAAATGCTAGAGTCACATAAAATCAAATTACAAGCCTTCTAATCTTTTAAAATATATAGCACAACAAGAAAATTCTCGTAATTCAACAGGAAAATCAAACTAAAACCACTGTTTAAAATGTCTTCTTGATAATCTCATATTGTTCAAATTCCCTTATCTATTTTTCCTTGTAACTATATTAATTTAAGGCCTGCATTGTCCTGAACCCTGTGCAGTCATTTACACTAGTGCAGGACATAACAGTTTCAGGGTAACTGTACCTGTATTCCCCCTCCCGTGATCTCTAGATAGCACCCACTTAAGGTTTCAGCTCCCAGCAAGCACCTCTTTTGGAGGGAGACCCGTGTCTCTCTCCCTCCTGACCAGGAGTTTTAAGACTATACAGCTCCCTGCCTTACACTGCAATATCCCAAGCAAACCAGTCTGCCTAAAAGCCAGCACCTGTGCTTTGCTGTCTCTTCAAGTGCTATAAACAGTGTATTTATTGCCAGCAGCTACAAATTATACCAGAGATTTTTTCTAAGCAAGCACATTTATCCTTAAAGTAAAAGCATTACAGAGAAAACATAAAGAAAACACTAAACATATTAGGGAGTCACCGATCAGTCTTATAGACTTTCCAATCCTTCTGCAAGGATTGGGGGTCATCTTGGATATAAGGTCCTGTCTGTTTGCCGGTTCAGAAAGATGGTCCTGAGTTAATTTAAACTCAGTCTTTTTATATTACAAGCTCTTTCTTTGTCTGTTGGTTTCTGAAAAACCCTGTCTGAACCAGTATATGAAAGCCTTCCCCGGAGGTAGTACTTCTCTGGTGGGGTGTTTATAATTAAGTGAGTCACCTTAATCACTCCCTATTGTTTTTAGTTCCTGGTGGAGCAGTAGAACCCTCCCCACTTAGAGGTAAATTAAATCCGTGGGCCAGTGTTACATAAACCACTCATACACTTAATGCAACATGTTCCCCACAGATATTGCATATAGTTGCAATATTATTGTCTGGTTTTGCAGACATTAATATCTTTCAACTGTGTATACAAATTTTTACACAACCAGTTGTAGCTAGTGAAAAAATCAGGTCATGGATCTCTAATTAAAACCCCTGGAAACAACGGAATTTGCCTGTACTAGTTGGCTGTCTTTTTTTAATTCAATCTTTCTATAAAAAATGTTGCACCTTTTATGTGGGGATCGCAACACATACTTCAAACAATTAAACAACAAAACTCTGCTATGTGGAAGATATATATTATTACAGCTTATTATGGGCATCACTGAAGCACACAAATTGGGTAGGGATTTGCTGAAGATCATGCAACTAATCAGTAGGAGAGGGGCAAATAGGAGCCAATACAGGAGCCCTTCCATGGCCCTGCTCCCACTTCCCAGTTGCTCTTTTCTGACTAGACAATTGCTAAAAGTTACATTTTGGACATCTTACCAGCTTCTTTTTCAGGCAACTGCAGCAGTGCAGGCATTGGAGGATGAAGAAAATAACAGTCTTCATGCCTCTGTTTAAACTGTTCAGCAAAGGTAGCATCTATGCTGAGGGCAAACCAAGCAACCAGTCCATCTTCTTCATCTTCCTTCAGAATTCCTCCATTCAGAGTAGTCAACTGAAGTTCTACTCCAAGAAAAATCAAGGTGACTTTTTCAGTCTGGCTCATGTATTCCTTTACATCCTTGTGGCACAGCCTGCAAAGCCTGACTTCTGGCTGCTGGGAACCATCTTTCCCTCCACCCAAAGTGACCAATGGGTTTAAATTTGAGAAAAGGATGTATACCGTGGCTGGATGGTTTTGTTTTGTGTTTAACCATTTAGAATCTGTTCTTTTATCACTCCTTCTATCCAGAAGTGTCCTACTAAAATAATTTTCATACTCTATTGTATCGTTTGGCAGGAAAAAAGGCTTCTGTCCACCCTTAACATTTGCTAGTAAATTAGCTATATGCTTATATCCCCAAAATTTAGCAATGTCTAGTGCAGTCTGGCTCGATTTATTGACAATGGACCTGTCACACCTATAAACAGAAAAGAAAAATGATGGTTACCATAGTGACTGTGATTCTGTAAGAGTCTTGCTGGAGCATATTCTCACTGTGAGATACATCCACACTGCCATTGAACTTTGGGGCCCTTTAGAAAAGTAGTCCCAATTGGGGCCATGTACATACTCCTTCACAGCACTGAACATTTAGAAATGTGATGATAAAATGACCATATGTTCCCAACACCTTCATTCCCTCCTGCTCAATCCAAGTGTTGGAGTCTTAGATTCTGAGGCCAGAAGGGACCACTATGATCATTTAGTCTGACCTCCTGTAGACCTCCAGCCACAGAACTTCTTCAAAATAATTCCTATAGCATACCTTTTAGAAAAACATCCAAATATTATTTTAAAATTGCCAGGATGAAGAATCCACCATGACCCATGGTAAATTGTTCCAATAATTAATAACCCTCATTGTTAAAAATGTACACCTTGTTTCCAGATTGAATGTGTCTAGACACTGGATCACGTTATGCCTTTCTCTGGTAGACTGAAACGCTCATTATCAAATATTTATTCCCCAGGTAGGCACTCATAGACAGTAATCAAGTCACCTTGTAACTTTCTCTCTGTTAATCTAAACAGATTGAGCTGCCTGAGTCTATAAAGACAGGTTTTTCTAATCCTTTAATCACACTTGAGGCTTTTCTCTGAACCCTCTCTAATCTATCAACAACCTTCTTGAATTGGACACAGATTTCCAGCAGTGGTCACATCTATGCCCAATATAGAGGTAAAATAACTTCTCTACTCGTACTCGTGTCGCAGGACAGTAGAGCTCCAAGAAAATTTGTAACTACCTAATTAACTTCAATGCAATACAACATCAGAAATTAAGGGAGTCCTGGATCAAAACCCAGAAATTGCTCCAGGCCTAGAGAGAATAGATTCCCCTGCAGAAGGAGAAGAACTAAGGCAGATGGACCACATAGCCCTTTTATAGCTTTGGCTCTGAACGTTCAGTGCTGCAAGAGGGAGCTCCTGCAGCTGTAGTGGGCGATGCTTTCTAGAAGGATCCCAAAGATCAATGGTACTAAAAGGCATATTCCACAAGTGAGAATATGCAGAGGCAACAACATCAAAGAAGAATCAGGGAAATAGCCTGTTAGCAAAACATTTCTACTTTCAAGAAAATATTTTTGTTTGTAATCACTCTACTTTTCTTGTCTAATTCATTCAAAGAAGAAACATTTCAGCCTTAGTAGCATCACAATGGACTATCTTGGAAACAAGTGTGACACTTAAAAGAGGCAAAGATTCTGGAACCCTTTCTCAGAGGTCTGCAGAATGAGCATTTTAAAATCATGCTTTGGGAGATGACTTGATCCACAGAAATATCTTTCTCTTACAGAGCTGTCCACAGAATGAAAGCGCTGGAGAAACACTGCTGTAGGGCATATATTAAACTATTCATAAAAAAAATGTTAGAATACCTGGGATTTCAGTGCATATAATCTGTTTCAGACTAGGAGGAAAAGATCACAAGCATAAATAATATGAAACCAATCCATACTCCCATACAATTTGACTTGTGAATTTTCCTTTTCCGATTAGGATTATTTGTTCATTCAGGGACAAATTCTACCCTCACATATGGACATGCAACACCAGTTCTCTCAACTGGGAGCTAAGCACATGCCCTAACAATCATCTTCTATGGGGAAAATCTGATCCTCACTTTGTAAAATGCTTCAAGTTTAAAATATTTTCTTATAAACCAATTTTAAAATCACCGAGCAACAGTATGCTATGAATTCTTATATTGAAAATAGCAATTTTGGGAAACAGAAAGTTCTGAAATACTATGATTGGGAAGTCAGGAAAAGAATGCACTTGTTTTTGTAAATACAAACCCCGGTGGATGATGGACAACAGCATCACCATAAATCACAAAAAAAAAAAAAAAATAGTAGATATTGGGTCAGATTCACCTGTATGTTTCAACTGCTTTGTGTTTCTCCATGAGCTATTTTCTGTTGGTACTGATGCTTGCTTATAACAATCAGTGGGGAATTTATAGTAAAGATTGGATTGGGAAATATTTTTTTAAACAATGTAAAACAAAATGATTTAATCTTGTAATTCTACTTCCCTGAAGCTTTCACTTTTCAAGAATCTCAGTTCTGAGTTTTAGCTCCTTAGCAAGAGACTGACAAAACTTCCCTAACTCTTAAGGTTTTTTACCCTTGAGGGTAATGGGACAGAGTGAGAGGTAAGCCCCCTACTTATCATGTTTAGCACAAATGCTGCCCCTCTGAATATTTCAATAAACTCCTTTGACTGCATGGAAAGCAACGCTCAGAGAAAAAAAGCCAATTCAAGATGAAAATATGTGCCTCAGAAAAATGAAAATAAAAGTGGAAGAAAAAATACTTCATAGATTAGTAGACTTTAAGACCAGAAGAGGCCATTAAGATCATCCAGTCTAACACACAGACCAGAGTATTTCACCCCACGAGTCCTGCCTTAAGTCCATTAATTTGTGACTGAATTTGAACATCTTTTAGAAAGACATCCAATCTTGATTCAGACTTCACGTGATCAAGAATATACATCCAGGGTAGTCAATTATTTTTTGTCAAGGTCCAAATTTCTTGGTCAAGGTATAGTCAAGGTCCAAACTCCATAGAAAATAATAAAAATGATAAGTAAATATTTGAGGACTGTTCAAAAGCCTCTGGCGGTTCAGATTTTGGCCCGCGATTCACCTATTGACTACCCTAAACTACACCCTCTAGTAATCTGTTCCAGTGGTTAATTAGTCTCACTGTTATAAATTTGCCCCTTATTTCCAGTTTTATTTTTTCTAGCTTCAATTTCCAACCATTGGATCTTGTTGTGCCTTTGTCTGTTAGATTAAAGAGCCCCATCTTCTGCTGAGTAGGTATCTGTAGATTACGATCAAGTTGCCTCTTACCCTTCTCTTCAATAAGATAAATAGACTGAACTCCCTTGAGGCTCAATGTAAGGTGTTTTTGCATGTTTCAAATAATTCTTGTAGCCTTAAAACTCCCTTTAATTTTTCAGTAACTTTTTTGTGTGGAAACAAAACTGGATACAGAATCCAGTAGTGGTCTCACCAATGTTTTATACAGATGTAATATCAACTCCTTACTCTTCATTTATACCTCCAAAGATCATATTAGTCCAGGGGTGGGCAAAATACGGCCCATAGGCTGGATCTGGCCTACGGGATTGCCAGCCCCGAGCCCCTAACCCCCTGCCTTGAGCTCCCTGCCACACCCCAACACCCTGCCCTGAGCCCCTTCCCGCAGTCCACACCCCTCCCTGCCCTGAGCCCCCTCCTTCACTCCATACCCCTCCTGCACCCCAATCCCCTGCCCTGAGCCCCCTGCCACACCCCGCACCTCTCCTGCACCCCAACCCCCTGCCCTGAGCCCCTTCCTGCACACCGCACCTCCTCCCACACCGCGCACTCCCTCCCACACCCCAGCCCTACATTCATGGCCCTGCTTGCAATTTCCCCACCCAGATGTGGCCCTCAGGCCAAAAAGTTTGCCCACCCCTGTATTAGTCCCTCTAGACATAGCATCATACTAGGAGCTCGTATTCAATTCATTATCTAACAAGACTCTAAGTCCTTTTCAGAATCACTGCTTTCCAGAATACAGTCCCATATCCTGTAAATATGATTTTCATTCTTTGTGACTTGATGTGATCTTTTTGCACTACAATACAAAGGCAAGTGCTGGATTAAGGTTAAGGCTTTGAGGAAAAAAATAACTGGAATATTTAGATTTATTAAATTTAACATATTCAACTTATACATGCAAGGGGAGGTGTGCAATGTCCAGTTTAGGGCATGGCTCATGCTTTCCCTGTTACCACTACTCTCAGGAATGAAAATAACTTTAAGCGATAGGAGAGTTCCACCAGTCTGGCATGAGGAACGGAGTGAGACCGCAACACAGAAGGTAACTTCAGAGAAGAAAGATGTTCATATGGATCTGTATATAGTGGTCATTCAGAGACATTGATCAATGGGGCAGGAAGGACATAATTAAATCCTAAGTAAAGGACTCTCTAACTTTCTTACCCTTTTTCAAGAAGAATTTGTACAATCTCAAAGTGTCCATTTCTGGCAGCATACATCAAGGCTGTCCAACCATTCTCAGCAGCTTCATTGATAAGGGATGGAGAATGACTGCATAGCGCTGTCAATCTGATCTTGTCTCCAGTAGCAGCAAAACTGTGCAGCTGAGAAATCATTTGGTGTGTGGGGTTCCTTTCAATGTTTGTCATTGTCTCAGCTATGTTAAAAAAAAAAACAGAAATATGTCTGAACAAAATTTGGATTTTATATTATTTAAAAAAGAAAGGATAAAGAAAAATATAACTTGTAGATCAACAAAACTCACCCACAATTATCACCAGGAAAAATGATACAATCATAACAATTTCATGTGTAGTGTCAAATTTAAGAAAATCAATTAAATTCAATGTTGATAAATGTCAAATAATGTACACTAGAAAATATATTCCAAACATACAAAATAATGGGGCCCAAATTAGCTGTTACAGCTTAAGAAAGAGATCTTGGAGTCATTGTGGATAATTCCCCGAAAACCTCTGCTCAACATGCAGCAGCAAGTCAAAAGAGCTAACAGAATGTTAAGAACCATTAGGAAAGCGATAGATAATAGAGTAAATATCATAGCACCACTATATAAATCCATGGTACGCCCACACTTTGAATACTGCATAAGTTCTGGTTGCCTCATTTCAAAAAAGATATATTAGTATTGGAAAATATACACAGAAGGGCAACAAAAATGATCGGGGGTATGCAATAGCTTCCATTTGAGGTGAGATTAACGAAACTGAACCTGTTCATTTTAGAAGAGATGACTAAGTGGGGATATGATAGAGGTCTATAAAATTCAGAATGGTGTGGAGACAGTGAATATGGAAGTGTTATTTACTCCTTCATATAACACAAGAACTAAGGGTAACCCAATGAAATTAATAGGCATTGTTTAAAACAAACATAAGGAAGTACTTTTTCATACAATCCAGTCAACCTGTGGAGCTCACTGCCAGGGGATGTTGTGAAGGCCAAAAGTATAACTAGTTCAAAAAAGAATCAGGTAAGGAGGAGGACAGATCCATCAACGGCTATTAACCATGATGGTCAGGTCAGGGATGCAACCTCATGCTCTGGGTGTCCCTAAGCCTCTGACTGCCAGAAGTTAGGACTGGCTGACCTGGGAGGGATCACTTGATAAATTGCCCTGTTCTACTCATACCCTCTGAAGCATCTGGCACTGGCCACTGTTGAAAGACAGGATACTGTGCTAGATGGACCATTGGTCTGACCAAGTACGGCCATTAATTTCTAATTAAATTGTCATCACCAAGCAAGTTTCTTTATATCAAAACTCACATGACAAAATATCTTTCCTTACACATTTTCCTCCACGAAAGAAAACTAACTTTACCAGAGGCTTGAAGATACAGTGAATTGAAAGTAAACACAGGTGCTCAAGTAACAACAGACACCATCAAATACTTCTTGATTGTCTTGGAGGCTGAGACAGAAGACACAGTACTGAAGGGCCCCCAGCCAGGAGTGACACCGCTGCTGGCACCACAGTCCCAGCAGCTGAGGGGGGAGGAGAGTGGACTCGACCCCCTTGCCCCCCACAATCAGGCTATGAACATCTGGCGTGGCCAAAGGAGCTGGCCCATGCAGCCAGGGCTGCGGAGAGCTCTGCTGGCAGGGGAAGCAGGGGAGTTTGAGGTGGACGGGGTATCCCAGGAGCCATACAGGAAGTGGGGGAAATGAGGTGGGGGGGGTGTCTGGGGACTCACATGCACGGATGGTCATGGAAATGGAACCATTTCACTCAGAGGTGGTCCCCTTTATTTAGATGGTCAGAAAGGCACACTGACAGGTCAGTTTGGAAGCTTGCACAATCATTGCCTCGTTCTGAATATGCAGGACTTTCAAAGCACTAAATAGCTAATATAGCTAATCCAGCAACTCTCACCAGTACTAAATTTATTATATATATAGTTTTATAGCCCCAAGAAAAAAAATAAAGTTTCAGCCTCAGATTTACCAATAAGGAATCTAGATTCTCTATATGTTAAATGAAAACAATAAAGTTCAGAATTGCGTGTGGTCTCTAGTGTATATATATAAAAATATATTTTAAGAAATACTTTAATTGCCATGTTAAAAGGCCCAATTCAATGACAGGCCACAGAGGATGCATCCTCCTTGATACCAATTGTGAAGTATAATGGAATAATACTAATAGGTTTAGCAGATAAAATAAAAAAAGAACAAGTTAAAAATCACTTAGAAAAGTTAGATGCCTGCAAGTCACCAGGGCCTGATGAAATGCATCCTAGAATACTCAAGGAGCTAATAGAGGAGGTATCTGAGCCTCTAGCTATTATCTTTGAAAATCACGGGAGACAGGAGAGATTCCGGAAGACTGGAAAAGGGCAAATATAGTGCCCATCTATAAAAAGGGAAATAAAAACAATCCAGGAAACTACAGACCAGTTACTTTAACTTCTGTGCCAGGGAATGTTATGTAGCACGTAAGTGCGGATGACATCATCGTCCCCTCTG